CAGACTGGACAAGAAGTGCCGATGATAGAAAAAGCACCAGTGATGGGTGTTTCTTTCTTGGCAACAACCTCATCTCGTGGCTCAGCAAGAAGCAAAACTCGGTGTCCCTCTCCACAGCTGAAGCAGAGTACATCGCCATGGGTAGTTGTTGTAGCCAACTGTTATGGATGAAGCAGATGTCGATGGACTATGGGATGGAACCAGGGGCACTTCTGGTATACTGTGACAACAAGAGTGCAATAAGCATCTCAAAGAATCCGCTGTAACACTCAAGGACAAAGCACATCGACATAAGACACCACTTTATCCGTGAGTTAGTAGAACAAAAACAAATAGTAATCGATCATGTTGTCACTGAAACTCAACTGGCTTATTTATTCACAAAACTTTTGGATTTTAATCATTTAGTCACATTGAGAAATGATGTTTGTGGAATCTAACAAATGTTTTGAGATGTGAAGAATTGATACAGGTACTGACACAGGGTGAACATAAAGTTTTGATTCAGCTTTGAAGATTACAGATTAGAGAAAAAGAGCTTCCTATCTCGTCGTCATGTCTTGACATAAGTACAGGTTTCACAGAGAGAGCCAAACAAGCTGGAACTGGTGTGAGTCAGTCTTTGAGAAGTCAAAGTGATAAGGCTGACTTACGAATCAACATCACTAAGACAGGGTCTAAATCAAAAGGGTTCTGTCTAAGCTGAGAAAAAAACCAAGGTAGAAGAAAAAGGGAAGCTGCCCAAATAGAATGGAAAAACCCAAGGCAGAAAAAGATAGAAAGCTGCTAAGTTACTGTGTATCTCATACAAAAAGAGAGTACATAAAAACATGGTTCTCTCTTGATGAATAAAGGTTAAAAACTGATGAAGATCATGATAAAGACGAGGTAGTGTGAAAGCTAGTTTCAGCATCAAAAACTCACAAGGCACAAAGAATCAAGAAGAAGCTGAGTGTTCATTCGAGTCAAGTGCTGAGTCAGCGTATGCATCATTCATGAAACTGGGTAAACAATTTGAACTTAAAAATGTTTTTCAAAAGCCAGTTGATGAGTGATGATTGGGGAGATTACTGTTCATGTTTGTGACCACAGATTCATCGGATTAAATGTGTCAATGATTGTCATGTTCTATGTGTTCTACTAATGATTCCTTTCCCAAAGAAAAAATGTGTCACAATAAAACAGGAGGTGGGCCACGGACAAACGATGCTCATACAACAAGAGCCCATGAAGAGAAGAAAAAAAAATTAAAACAGAGGAGAGGGAAATCAAAGTTGCTATAATTGCAGGAGAAGAAAAGGAAGAGTCACAAAATTGATTTGAGGCAAAACCCTAGGTGCAGAGAATCTACTTGACTAGATTCAAGGCATCTCAGTCTAGATCTGTGCATAAAATGGTGTTTGGAACACGCAGAGGTCTCATCAGAAAGAAATCATTATCAAAGAAGGTGCATGCAACAGGTTATGCTTCGACTCCTCACTTAATCGATGAGTCAAGTGGAGAAGAACAGAATCCGCCGGTGACTCAGGACGAACGAGTGCCAGAGGCGAGAAAGAAGGTCAAAAGTGACAGTGAATCATTCGCTACTACTGACGAGAGCGAAAACTCATCCGCCAAGCCCTCGGACAAACCGGAGGAGGAGAACCCACACCTCGGCGAAGCTCAGGTCGAATCGGTAGCATATGAGGAGCCAAACAGTGCCGAGAAGGAGCCCGAGCTGAAAAAAGAGGAGAACCCAGGGGTCGAGACTGAAATCCAAGGGGCTGATAAGTCAGGGATAGACGGAGAGTCCTTGCCGGAGACTCGAACAGCTGATGGGCCCAAGGTCAAAGGAGCATCGTGTCCCAGTGACAAAGAAGGAAGGGGCCTGGAAACTGGAACAGACGAGCGACCAGAGGAGATGTCGGTTCAGGAGCAAATCGACGAAGTCGAAAGGAACCGCAGTATGGCAATGTTGGCTGTACCCGTTGCAAAGCAAGCTCGGAAAGAGTTAGAAAGAGTCATATCCTCTCATCCCTCAGAGACACAAGCCGAGCCAACCCCAAACGTCCCTGGCACAGAGGCTGAGTCGTCAAGCAAACAAGAAGAGGAAGAGGAAGAAGACAAAGCCAATGGAGGAGACCCCAGCTCAACGAAGGTATAACCTCTTTGCTACCCGCTCTATCTGGTCTAAACGCGTGGTAGATGTAGATGAAGCTGACTAATGGGAATACCATGGAGTCCTGACGGAGAGTGGAAGCGCTGGTCTGTGACTCAACTTAAGCCATATGTTAGCAAGATGGTACGAGAGTTCTATGCTGGACTCTCATCAGAGACACCAGGCGATGTGACAAGATGGTACGAGAGTTCTATGCTGAACTCCCATTGGAGACACCAGGCGATGTGACACAGGTATTTGTTGGGAATGTTCGAGGAGTTCGAGGATTATCAACGAGACTCTTCGTCGTGAGCCACTTACTGAATCAAAGAGGAAGGCTGAAGCTGAGGCAGATATTGTGCCAATGTCTGAAGTATTTCGCTTCTTGTCCAGGGGTCACCAGCCTATGTGGTCGGAACTGACCTCCAAAGATTTCCCTACGAAGATTGCTGCACTGATGGTGATAGCCTCATATAACTGAGTGCCTTCTACGAACAAGCACCATATATCGAAGGAACGGGCAAGGCTGGTCTACAAGTTGTCATACAGGGTCAAAGTTGACAACGACCTGATAATCTTTCAGCAGATGCTCGATCTGAGCAAGGTGATCAAAGGAGATCGGCGATGGCTAATGTTCCCATGCCTCATCCGCAAGATTGTTAAGTGCCAACTCATCCTACAGCTTGACGAAGGAGAATCGTGGATCTCCCCAACCAAATACAACAAGGATCCACGAAGTGGGGAAACTTTTCTCAAAAAAGAAGCAGCTGCAGCTACAGAGGAGAAGGCTGAAGGGAAAAAGAAGAAAGAATCTCGGAAGAAGACGCCCTTAGCCTCAACGTCACAATCACCAGAGCCAAACCCGCGACCTAAGGCAGCATTCGAGCCATCCTCATCATCTGGAGGAGTCACCAACGTGAGTCTGGGAGTAGTACGGGTGCCAGAGCCTCCGGCTAGTGCAGAAGGAATCAGGACAGCTCTTGAAGATTTGTCTTCTGTCCTCGAAAGTCTGGGGGTTGTGACAGCCATGTTGCATACGGCAATCACAAGTAAGTCCACTTAGACTATGTTTGAACTTAAACATATGTTTGCTCCTCGATGTGTTTTTAACATCTATGCTCACAAGCAGGGGGAAAAAGTTGAAATCGATGGATGCAGGACTTATGGGGGAGTTCTTTGGGTTTTGGGGTTTGAATTCTTTTGATTCTGGGGGAGTAAGGAGAGAGGCTTTATGACTCTTGTTATTTGTTGTTTCTCCTTGAACTCGTTTATGTTAAGACTTAGTACTCCAGTTTTTTTTAGTTCTTTTGGTTAATCAGAATCATTTCAGAATGGCTTGTGGTTTGTAGTGCTTTGGCTTGTGTCTGTGTGTCTTCGATTTCATGGGCAGGTACTTGTGAGGCACTTATGATAAAAAGGAGGAGATTGAAGATGCAAACAAAGCTGAAGCAGCACGTGTAGCAGCTGGGCTAGCTCAAGAGGTGACACGGAAAAAACTTGCGGAGCAATCCACACACGTCGAAGTGAGCTGGTAGTTGAGCTGGAGCTGCAGGACGTGCTGGACACTTCAAGAGTCGAGAAGCTTCCTTGGATAGGAGGCTTGGAGTATCTTGAAGGATATTTGGAGTTTTCTTTATCTTAGGAGAAGATAAGGAAGGAGAAGATTCTCATGAAGATTTGGAGAAATCGCAAGGAGAGTCTCGGCTAGGGTTAGCCACAAGTCCTATTGTGTATAAATAGGCGTGTGAGAACCTTGTAGGGTTTAAACACAATTGAGAGAGATTTTTAGCAAAAGGTGAGCAAATTTCTTGTAAAGGTTTATGAGCTAAAGTGCTAAGAGATTTGGGGTGAGGTTCTTGAATCACGTATCGATTCAAGAACAAAGAGAACTAGTGTAGCAAATCAAGGTGTGTCTTGAGGTTGCTCTAAATCGAATTATATATATTTGTAAGTTATAAATAGATTTACTAGTGAAATATTCTTATAGAGAAAATTCATGTACTGTATTCAGTTCTAGTTTCCGTATTACTACTCTCACATTTTTACGAAAAACTTAGATTTCTCTTTTCGAAATGTTTATGAAATTCTTACGTAACATGTACTTTTCACGAAATGCCCAGGTGTATTTTAAAATTATAGAAGACAAAAGTAAAAAGTTAGGTGAACAATAAAATCTCGTGTATCATGTCTAAATTATAAAGCTGAGAAGATCATAATTCATAAGGAAAAGATAAAAGGAAACGAGCTAGCTGAACAATTATCACATCCTTGTTTTTTTTATTATAAAATAATTGAATGAAGGATCTTATATGATTTGATTAATCCCACCTTTCCCAATAAAATATAGTTCTCTCATCAACAATCAAGCAAATCTGTGTGACTCCCTTTCCTCGCATAGAAATGCGTAAATAAATAAGCCCAATCGAGCAGATTCGTTGAATGAATTGATTTTGTCCCAAAAACGCAGCTGCCCATATAATCTTGTCGCGAGCGATAATAGTGAATAGTCAAGAAAAGTGAAACATAATACTGACCTCTTGTTTGGTTAACTTAAAACTAAGTTTAATTTATCTACTCCATTATCGTTGGAGGACAATAATTAAATAAAATTGAAGATAAGACTATGTCTATTGAGAGTCCTTCACATTTTTTACTTGGTTGCTAATGAATATTTTAAGTTAAAATAATGAAAAAGAAGTCCAAAATATAAAGACTGATCTTTGCAGAAGGGTTTTTAGAGCTGACCTTTAAAAAATTGCTTATAAAAAAATATTATAATAATTTTAAGCAACTTTTAATAAAGTCGTTTAATGTACATGCTCTAGTAGTTTTCCCTTCGTCTTGGTTAATAACGAAATACAATAATATATAAGAACAACCAAGCAAGGTTCAGTTTCTTAGACACAAACAACTAAGCAAGGCTCAGTTTCTTAAACACAACTCAAAGATCTTCCTATATGGGTTCCTTCGACTTGCCTCACACTTCATCGTTCAAGGTTCTTACTCAAATTTGATTTCTTTGAAGGGAAAAAAGAGTTGTTTTGTGAATTTTCGATAGTTCATAGTTTCCATGTAACAGGGAGGAAGTGAAAGATTTCTTCGGAATGTGTTTGAGAATATACTGAAGACGTATCTGACGATGAACCCGACGGCGAAGACGATATGGGAACTAGTTCAGTCGGTGGACAACGAGAAGATCTGCTACGACCACTTCACTTTCCAGACACTAAAGGTACGTCTTGACTTTGAAAATTTGTCGATTTTCACAAATATACAACGAATCAAGCAAGTGTTAACTTCCTGGAGATTAGTTGACATTTATTGTCCGACGAACTATTACTCATGAGAACTATCGTACACCTATTTCTCATGCTTTGTAAATTCTATTTCTAGTTCCCCACAGAAAAAAAAAAAAAAAAAAGAGTTAAAACTCTATATCCCCACGACAAATCTCGGTTACTGTATAAAAACAGAAAATTTAATTATCTCAGTTTTTTAATTTGTAGAATCAAATGATGTAATGTATTAGTAGAGGTAAAACAGAAATTTTTAATATTTTTAATATCTGTGAAAAACCTCTAAACGACATTTACAATAAATCGGAGGAAATAAAACATTTGGGTTTGGATAGGTGGAGGGTTATGGAATAGATTCTTTATCAAGTTTCTTCATGGATTATGGATATAAAATTGGAGATGGACTTGATTTTCCAACAAAGAAACTACGTGTTCTCACGTTTTCACCTCCGGATGTTTACGTCCCTGATGACGGCCACGGCCTAGGCAACGGGCCTTTGCCACGACCTGTTATATCTGAGCTTCTTGTGGACGAACTAAGTCTTGAATCACAGGTATGAACGATTACAGACATAATGTTGTTCTCATGAGTCTTGAAATATCTAATTTTTTCTTTGTTGGTCCTAACTTCTTATTAATGGTTGATTAGGAGATAATACGGAAATATCTAAAACCAGAAGGTGGTAAGCAAGCGGTTATTTCAAGTACTTTGGGGTCTTTAATTTGGGAAAAGCCAACATCCTCCGACTTCAATCAGCTTGCCAAGTATGGAACACTCTCTATTCATATGGAGGAGCTTTTATTAAATACACTTGAAAACCTTAATTCAAAAATCATCCAAAAAACCTTTATTCAAAAAAAAAAAATTTGAGAAAAAATAGAGGGATTTCGAATTAATATTCCAAAAAATTATTTATTTTGAAAACTAATCCTTCTTTATAAAGTTTTGAAAACTAACTTTTTCCGATATGAATTTTGAGAATTTATAATTATAAAAATAAAATAATTTTCTTTTTATATTTTTGGAAACAAAAACTATTTTTTTTAATAAAATTTTGTAGTTTAGATATATCTTCCAACTTTAATATATATAGATATAAACATATACATATTATTATTAAAATTTGTTCTTATGTTTATCACCAACCGGCTCAAACTTTATGTATTCATCACTGTAGTTATTATGATAGTTATATGAGAAATACTTTTTTGCTTTTGAGTAATATTCAATATTTGATAGTTTAAACTTTAAAGTGAGTTGTGTAGTTGGTAATTTATGTGCGTTTGAATAATCATATTTGACTATCTTTTTATATTACATTTCTTGCGTGATCACTTCAAAAGATCCGTTTGATCATGATGACGGACGAGTATATTTGAATTTTTATATTAAATTAAATAACGTATTTAGTAATTTTTCTTGTAAATAATTAAATTAAAAAATATTTTCCTGTATTTTTAATTTACTCAAACATAAAAAAAATTGGAGTTAAAAATAATTATCAAAAAATAATAATTTATATGTGTAATTTATTTAAGGTATTTTAGAAATTTTAAATGCAAAAAGTTTGTTTTTAAATTTTTTAAAACATAGATTAGTTTTTCAAAATATATAAATTTTTGGAATACTAAACCAAATCTCCCAAAATACATTTGTTGGTAAAAAGAATTTTTTTAATGGAAAAATGACATATTTATCTAGAATTGGTGAGCCTATAACGTTTAGGTACTATGCCAACTGAATAGTTAAATAATAAAATAGTAGAATTAATAGGACTAGTAAACTTAAAACTGCATAAATTTAAACAAAAAACTATTATTTATTAGATGAACAAAGTTTTGTATAAACTAACAAATATTAAACATAAGGGATGGGTTGAAAATACCTGGTTAATTTTTACAGTTTATTATTTCGTACTTATTATAGTAACAGATATATACTCGGTGGAATCACGATTTCAAAACATGAAAACTTGAAATAGTATGTAATTTTTGGGGAAACGGTCTATTTCCCCCCATAACTTTCATATAATACTATATCACCCTGAACTTTGAGCCTCGGTTTGTGTCTCACTAAAACAAAAGTTAAATAGATTATTCCCCCTAGTTGCAAAGTTCGAGATCTATTTCCCCCTCAACCAAAATTTCGAAATCCTTTTCCCCCCAACCCACGTTTTTAGTTGGTTACTGTATACCAAATAGTCGCTAAACCAAAATTAACCTAACCTAAACCGATTACAACCCGATTACAACCCGTAAAAACCAATTAAAACCCACCCGAGCTCTAAACTGCAACCTAAAACCCGATTACAGCAAAATCCCCAAATCAGTTAGAACCCTAACCTGAGAAACGAACCCAGAATTCAAATTCCCCCAAATTGAGAAACCTTCTATCGAAATTGGAAAGCGTTTTCGATCATGGAGGCATTGGAGTGGAGAGAAGTACCTGAATTTCGAGACGAAGATTCCCATGACTCTTCCTCGATCTCGGCCACCATTTGATACTCCACTAGATGCGCCGGATATATTGCTCATCCTCCACTAGATTTGATTTTGAATTCGCGATTTTGATTTCGAATTCGCGATTTTGATTTTGATTTTGGAAAACTGAGTTTTAGGGTTTATATTCAATTTGGGGATTTTAATTGGGGAACGGGTCGGGGGAATGGATCGGATCTAGGATCGGATTTGGTTTTTATTTCGGTTTTGTTTTCGGTCCAACACGTCTGGTTTACGGTTTACATGCGGAACCGATGTAAAACCATCGAAATTTTGGTTGAGGGGGAAATAGATCTCGAACTTTGCAACTAGGAGGAATAATCTATTTAACTTTTGTTTTAGTGAGACACAAACCGAGGCTCAAAGTTCAGGGTGATATAGTATTATATGAAAGTTATGGGGGGGAAATAGACCGTTTCCCCGTAATTTTTTCAAGTTTTCATGTTTTGAAATCGTGATTCCACCGAGTATATATGTATCATATTAATCCAATCATAGATTTCAATGATAAAACACTTGTGGGTGGTTGAAAAAATATTACTCCTCTAACAAAACATGAAAAGAGGTAACTTCAAAAAGAATAGTTTTTTGTTTTCGTAAAGATAACACATTGCTAACCACTGTAAAACACTGCAGGGAGAGTGAATTTGCGGCATGGGTACTTATTCACGGCTACACAATGAACCACCTTGCATTTTCTGTTCATCGGCTTAAACACCGTTTCAGTGACATCAACTGCATCAAAGAGTATCTAGAAGAAAAGGAATTTGAACTCAACAGTGACGGAGGAGTTCTCAAAGGTTTTCTTTACTTGTTCTCCTTGATTTTTCATTAGAATGTTTCTATTATTTATCGGTTAAATAATTGGAATGAATTAGTATTTCAGTGAGTAAAGATGGTCTACTTTTACAAGTGTCGTCGATCTCAGAGAGACTTGAGGTTAAGTTTGCAGATGGAGTAACTGAAACAATCCCGGCTTCATACATTGAGTTCACTCAACGTATGGTTCTCCCTGAGTTCAAAGATCTGCCTCATGACCAGGTTCTACATTCTCACCCTCAATACTTTGGATACCGTCCCGACTTTTTTCATCATATATGCATTACTTCGTCATTATATTCACGATTTATATAAATCCATAACTACAGATTGAAGAGTTCCATAGACGTGATGGCTTTGATTTGGAAAACGCAAAAAACATTTTGGAAAGCGCCCGTTTCACCACAGATGTTTAGAATCAGTATATGACCAAATGCTGTGTGAAATTTAAAAAAAAAAAAATTACATGGGTTTGTAATAAACTATTTTATTTTCAACTACCCATATGATTAAATCAAGATTTGCTCGGTAAGGTGGTGGCTCCGTGGAACAACCCCTACCAACTCTGTCTGGCTTACTTGGAAAAATATCAAAATTCGTGTTCGAGCCTCTTTTGCAAGAGAGTCTGCACAGACATTTAAAGAACGAGGAATATGAATTATGTTAAAATTCACAAAAACATCTCTCAGGAGAAAGAATGAATTTAGTTCTAAAGTAAACGCCGGCCAATCCACTGGATTCTCAATCATTTTTATCAAATCTGAATAGTCCGTCTTGATTCGAATTATAGAAAAGCACTTTTCCTTAGGCAAGACATAGTCCAGAGTAGTCAGTCTATCTCCGCATGTAACACCGAGAGGTGGTGTGGGTGCAGTGGGCAACACAAGTTTTACTCTAGACAAGCTAAATGCACAGCAAACGCAGTAGTACTTAGAGATCGAATCCACAGAGATTTCTGTGTTGAGGACTTCTAACTGATGCTAAAAACAATCGTAAACCTAATCTAATAAAAAGAGGTTTTGGTTTGTCACTAAATCTAATTAAGCAGAGAATTAAAAAGCTGGAAATAAAAATCAGTTGAAAACTATATGAAAAACGGCGCTGGGAATAAGGTTCGTCTTTAGGGTTCATGTTCTAAAACACAAGGAATTTAGGCAAGAATTTTCTATGACTCTGAAACTAGGATAGACACATATAAGATTAACTCTAGTACTCATCCTAATCATTTAATCACTTGTTCATAGCAATTATCCACCGTAGGTAGCTTTCGTCTCCTACGACGGTGACGTTCATAAGATGCAGTTCAGGCAACTCAGATACAACACTCTCGTGGCTCGGATTTAACCTAGGATCGGATTCTGGGTAATTAGTCCAGAATTACCGCTTTGAGATTTGGATGAATGGGAGAATCATATTAAAATTCGAAATCCTTTTTCCTAAAAACCCAGATGTCATTCAAACATGGGGTCCCTTTGGGTTACCCTTTCACCCAACTAGGTGGTTACTCAGACATGGCTGAGATAGACATCATCATCGGTTTAGAACTAGAAAGAAGAAAAGTAAAGAAACAAAAGTTACATAAAAAGTTCTCTTATTAAAGACAGAGTGGCGATGAAAAGCTTATACAGATGCATAAAAATAAAACCAAAAGCTACAAATGAGTTTTTCTCTCAAAGAGAAAAAAGAGGCACCCTTACAAAAGACCTAAAAAGAGAATTTATAGTGTTTCTCCAAGTCTTGGGCGTCTAAGGCTTGTAAATTGGGTACAGGAAGTGTCTTGGGCCTTAGTTAGACTCCTGAGGTTCGGACATAGGTCCACCAGGGGTGAAACCTCTTGAGCTGCGGTGGGAAGAAAGCTGGTCGCGGGTGAAAGCTCATGTGCTTGACTGGACTTGTATTGATCGGCCTTCTGTGCATTGATGATATCTGGAGATCTAACTGTTGGTTTGCTTTGATTCCAAGTGTGTTGGAAAGCTGGTTGTCTCCTCTATAATGTCTTTAAATATGGGGATTATCAGATGGTGAGAAAGTCTTCATTGGTTGCCAAACTTCTGACGGTCTGAATTTATCTAAAAATGTACTTTTACTCCAAAATGTACTCCAAAGTTCCAAGTTTCCTGAAAAGCCTTTTAAAACTCTAAAACATGAAAAACACTTACAAAACCTTTAAAACTGAGTGAAAACACCTGCATAAGATACTGAAAGTGATCCATAAATATGGTCAAAATCAGGTGTTATCAAGAGGCTTCTACGACAGCTTTGAAGTTCGAAGATCTCTTGTCCCATATGGTCCCTGTAGCTCCACCCTAGGCCACTAACCGGTCCATGGTCGATCCAAGAGACATCAATTTGACAAGTTGGGATTCGGGGGTCCATGGGGGGGGGCTCTATTGATAACACCAGATTTTGACCATATTTATGGATCACTTTAATGTCTTTTACAGGTGTTTTTACTACATTTTCAAAGGTTTTCAAGGGATTTCTATATTTTCGGATTTTAAAAGATTTTTCAAGTAATTTGGGATAAAGAGGCACAAATTGGAACAAAAGACTCTTTTTGATAAATGCAGACCATCAGAACTCTCATGGAGAGACGAATACCTTCTCACCGTCTGATCACCCTCAAACTTGGACAACTTATAGAAGAATCAACCAGCTTTCAAATGCACTTGGTTTGGAGACATTCCAACGGTTGGATCTCAAGATATTCCATTAGCCCCGAAGCCACTCGAAGACGGCCAGCAAGTCACATGACCGCGGCCACAAGCCTATTTCCCGCGGTCACAAGCTTCCCGACCGTGGCCAACCACCTATTTCCCGCGGTCACGTTACTCCCGACCCCGGCCGGCCAACTCCGAATTAAAGCCCATATTTTTGAAGCCCAAAGTCATTTCTCAGCCTCAATTCCAGAACCCTAGAGACCATGGAGTATTGAAGACTATAAATACTTGTCATTTAGGTCGTTTTTAGAGAGAACCTTTATACTTTTACAGAAACCCTTTTCCTTTAGCCGTTTTATGCGATTTTCATAGAAGATTGTTCAAGTCTGAGTTCTTCAATAGAGAAGCTTTCTTTCATCTCTTTTCTTTATTGTTTTTGATTACTTTTATTAAAACCAATGATGATGTCGACCTCAGCTATGTCTGAGTAGATCCCGAGTTGGGCTTAGGGTTCCCGAAAGGGGCTCTCATAATCGATTAAGACATCTAGGTTTATAGATCTGGGATTTTAACTTTGTTCTCTGTTTATTCTCGTTCTTATTGCATGTATGCTTGATTGATCACCTAGTATTTGATCTAGATAGTTAGTGTTGCGAAAGTTTTCATTAAGTATCAGACCTAGAATGAAACAGGCGATTTTTCTGTAGGAGTGGAAACCTACCTGCGACGAGATCGTGAGTATTGACGAGTCTTGTGCAGCTCTGGCGTTCTCTGCCTTCCAGGGCCAGAGTGGAAACCTACTGGTCAAGGTTGCGAGAAACAATTGGTTATGATCACGACAGTGACGTAGTCATACCGCCGTACTCTAGCTCTAGAACCCTATATATCGATATCAGTCAATCCCAATCTATCTACCCTAGTGTTAAAACCGATTATGATCCTTGTAGAGTTCCCGAAAGTGCAGCGTTTTTAGCCATAGTTTACAAACCAATCAATTTTTACTTGTTTATTTAGATCTGCATTTTATTTACTTTAGTTTGATATTTTGCTTGCTTTATTTGCTTTCCATTCGATTTTTCTACTTGCTTTTCAGGATGGATTTATTTGCTTTCTTTAATTTTAGTTTAATCCGTGACAAACAACCAACCTCTAAAACCAATTTAGTCTAGACATAAAGTTAGAAATCGTAGAAGAATACCAGGCACACAAATCTCTGTGGATTCGATCCCTAAATACTACAACTGATTAGTTGTGCACTTGCGGCTTTCATTTGTTTCTGTTAAGGTTAAAACTTGTTCCCTCACGCAGTTGACACACATCAAGTTTTTGGCGCCGTTGCCAGAGATTTGTTTCGCTTCCTTTTGTTATTTTTCTTGTTCTAATTTATGTTCTAGACACCTGATCTCTAGTTCTTTCTTAAAGTTTGCTGAATTATCTTTTCCTTCTTTTGTTTTTCTCTGAATTGCATGAATACCAGGCGCAGACCTGTAGAAAACATTTCAATTCTAGACAAGATAGACAGAGAGAAATTCAAAGACTTAGACGAACGCAAGGAATGGCCAACGACAACCAGCCTGGAGATCCTATTAACCGAGCTTTAAATATGGACCAAGATGGGTCCGAACATGGAGAAAATGAAGAGAACGATCACAGAGGAGGTGATCATGCTCGACAAGATGGAGAAGAGGATGAGGTTCCTCCAAGAAATCATCAAAGAACATGAAGACCTTGATGCACCCATCAATGCAGCCGATGGTGAACACCAGGGGATGCAGCCGAATGGACGCGTTAACCGCCCTGTGCAGCCAGAAAATCAACACCGTAGACAAGCCAGGAACCATCGCATAGCTGATTTCGATGCACCTACTCAAAATTTTCAGAACCGATCTGCAATTCAAGTTCCATTTCCGAACTGGAATGAGTTTGAAGTCAAGCCTCAAATCATCTCATTGGTGAAACAAAACCAATTCCATGGAGTTCCTTCTGAACATCCAATGGACCATATCGAGCTCTTTGAAGAAATCTGCAGCATGATGAGAACAAACCAAGTTCAGAAGACTACTTAAAGTGTAAGTTGTTCCCTTTTTCATTAGCAGACAAAGCTCACGTTGGTTGAAATCCTTGCCTGCAGGATCAATTACAAATTGGGAAGAATGTAAAACTGCTTTCCTGAATCACTTCTATACTAAGTCAAGGTCGAACTTGTTGAGAACAAAGATCTCAAGCTTTCAGCAAGGACCGACTGAACCTTTCTATGAAGGCTGGGAACGTTTTAAGGAGTATGAACGTGATTGCCCTCACCATGGATTTCCTGGATCAAGCCTGCTAAGCACATTTTACCGAGGTTTGCAACCAAAATACAAACTTTCGCTTGATACATCTAGCAATGGAGATTTTGGAAAAAAGACGATAGCACAAGGAAGAGCCCTCATCGAGAATTTGGCTCAAGCCAATAGCAATGATTGTCCTGAATACGATCGCTCGACAAAGCAAACCGGAACAGACAACAAGGAGATAACCGAGTTGAAGAACATGATGAGCCAGCTTTTGAAGAGCAACAATCGCCCAATCCATGTTTGTGAGACCAACAATGGCGCAGAAGATGAAAGACCTAGTGATATCGATCACATTAATCAAGCCTTTCAAGAAGAAGAGGTGAACTATGTAGGAGCACAAGCACCATATCCAAATCGCTTCAACAATGGCTTCAACAACAATCTTATGGCAATCCAAACGTGGAGAATCCTCAAGACCAG